AATTTGGTCGGGCTGGTGTTTTCTCAGCGTCCAGGCTGCCCCTCAAAGTTGTGTCTGCCATATTTGGTTGATTGTCTTGGTTAATCTGCAATTCTACTCGAGCTTGAACTAAGTTCGACTCGGCGTCCGACTCGACGTTTGAGTTGTGCACGCCTTCCGGTCCATGGACTTCGTTCTCACTACTCTGCTGTTGTGGTTCTGCAAACCGTAGTGTGTTTCTCACTGCCTCCAAGTCAGTCTTCTGTTGGATATTTCTAATTAGTACGTTGTTTTCAACAGTGTCCCTATTCTCAACAGGAATATTATTTGCCTTTGTTAGTAACGCCCACGCTCCAACCGTTTCGATTATTGGTGATCTGACATTCTGGTCTTGTAGGTCCCCACTTCCGGTCTTGTGCCCTCCTACCAGTGGCCTGGCGTTCCCTGCATCAATTTGTCCTTGTCCTTGTGGAGAGGTTGATAATTTCGATTTCTTTTTGAAAGGGTCTGGAACTAGTTCGTCAAAAATGCCAGTACTACTACCCGCTGGAGTGAATGTTTCGTTTCCTATGATAATTTTCAAATTGCTAGGTTTTGCTGAGGCGCGTGTGATTCTTTTTTCTGGTTTATTTGACATAAAGAATATACTAACCGCGTCAAGGTTCGAGATATAAAATAGATATGCTTACATTATGAGATATATTCGTTTATACTCGTGTTTATGTCATGTCAGGGTGAAACAAGAATTATGTTAAGGTGAATTGTCACTTCAATATTTATATTCATTCATTCAATATGTATTCAATTTGCAAAAAATCATACATCTAATTGAAGTCTGGGTGTGCTTACAAACTATGAGGTATAATTATTAATGTAGGCTACGAGACTTAAATCATTCCCTCAGAAATTCAACATCTAAGTCCTCCAAATCACCAAATAACTTCATGAATTTTTCCTTCAACTGTGTAATTTTTGATGATGTTTCAGTGTCAGAAATAACAGTTCTCCTACTCACTATTTCATCAAAATTGAATTGTGGCACTTTATCAAAAATTATTTCCGTTCTAGGCGTTAATGGTAGACCAGTTTTTTCATCTATCCTATCTTCAATTATATCCCACCATATTGAAAAATCTGTAGCTATATTTGTTTTATTTGGCACTGTGCTACTCTCTAATATTCTCAATTCTGGAATATCATCTCCTATTCTGAAAGCTCTAGGGGTAAGGGGGATACCAGTTTCAATATTTATTCTATCCTCAACTATTCCTGATATATCTATAACCCTTTTCATACGTCGTTTTTCCCTGCGTTCCTTATTTGCTTTCACACGCCCCATGAATGTACGATACGTATTCCATTAACATGCAAAAATTACCTAAACCATTCAAAAATTACCCCTGCTTCACGACTTAGGAACCACACGATTATGGTGTGTACCCTTAAGGAATGTTTTCCCCGCAAGACAAAGTCTCACTAAATTGAGAGGAAATACATTCTTAATCGGAAGTTTAACTCGCACGTAGGTAGATCTCGAAGAGTTGGTCCATGCAGCCAAAGGCTTGCCAAAATGAAGAGACACGACTCTCGATCTATACGTTTTGAGTTAATACTGGGATAGTTTTCTCTTGTTCAGGTACTTTATGCATGTATACAAAAAAATAAATTGAGTACAAAGCTACAGCTCAACTAAATATATTGAATATAATAATGCTAATAGATTATAACTGGTCTATTCTTCAACGCCATCCTCGAAAATAATTGAAATTTATGTGGCTGATAGTCATATAAGTCATTCTAGTGATGGTGAGAACGGAATAAGAAATTATCTGAATTTTTTTCAAATTATTCAATCTAATTTATCGACCCCGGCGCCTCCACCATAATGTCACGACCCATGGCTACGGGGTGGTGACTCGGAGGTGAACTCGCTTGGGAGGCCGAGAAATCAAAACAGTTGTTCGTTATAAAGCTACAGTTTATTGAAAGAAATTAGTTTCATTAGTGATTTTAACAAACGAGATTCAATGCAAACGTAAATACATCAGACTTCACAATGAAAAGAAACATTTACTAGTTTGACAACATAACGATTGTGACAGTAGTACTTACAAAATAATCTCTAGCAGATGCAGGGGATGAACCATAGTGAAGGTTAGCTGATCAGATCCAAACTGATGCCTTGCCTTATCGGCTGTTCGATATTTATTTAGAATATTTTGATATAGTCAGCGTTATATTCCATATGCGGGTATTTCATTCCGGTTGAATGAGCTGCCAACGTGAGTGAAACATTATACTCGTTTCCTTTGATCGAATGTTATACGATAAAATGAATAATGAACTTTTATTAATGAATCTTGAATCAATATAATTTTGAATAGTAGCTATGAATATTTATGGTTCCTATCGTGACAATATTTAGAACCAGTCCTATATTTTTACAAGAATGTTTGCAAATCTGCGCAAAATCAACACTTTTTTCACTATATGACACATACAAAATATGTTTGTCATCGTTTTTGTTAACATATTTGTCATCAAATTTAACAGGTGTCATACAGCCTTTTGTTATGGCTGGCTAGGTTTCTCAGTATGACGCCCATCTCGCCAAATTACACGACTCAAAGTTAATCAATCGATGTAAAAGGCTTAAATATCGATTTTTTGAACCTGCATTTTTATTCTCATCAAACCATTTCATCATATAGGAGAGAACAAAAAAACTTCAATTGTGCGCCATATTGGATTTACAGTGATATCACATTTCTAATTATTATCGACAAGCACTTTCATTTGATACCCATATCGCAGAAGTGTATAAATAATAACTAATCCGCCATCATGGATTGTCCGCCATATTGGATTTAGAATCACGTCGTTATTTTTCGAGTTGCTCTCGACGAGCCCTTTGGTTGCTTATAACTTTTCATTGAGGAATACAAGATGATTCAGTTGCAAGTAGCATCAATTGAAGGGCTCGTCGAAAAAGTTAAATTATGAAGAAAGTGTAAATATATATTCTTCTTTGTGTCTTTTGAAATATGGGATGTTTAAATGTCGGTTGACGGAACGTTTTTATATAATTTCTCAGAGTTGATCAATGATTTTGATTTGTTGTATGTTTTGTGTTTGAAATAAGCAGGAATTAGAAAACAATCCTGATACAACGGAAGCACCCAGTGGCGTAGATTCCGAGGTCACATGCCACATGTCCCACAAAAAATTATGTATAGGTGTTTTCAATGTTTCTTGAAAAATCAACTCTCTTGATGAATTGAATTATTAGTTATATGTTTTCATGATTCTAATCTTGTTGCTTTCGTAAAATATTATATATATTTGACGAAAAAAATATTATAAAATGAAAATGTAAATTCAAACACATTTTTCATGGCAATTTAGTCTGAAAATCAGAAAAAGTTGTGAAAAATCAAAATCACATATTTGTGTCATCTGACCCTTGGATATACGACATTGGGTAATTCCGTTGTATTCAGAAGTGTTCCAATGCCTGCACATTACAAAAACAATATATACAGGGTGGCCAACTAAGACTCCAGAGCTCGATACCTCTGTTGTCTTGAGAGATACAAAAAAAAGTTTTGCATTTGAATTAAAGTGATAACCGAGCTTCACATTTCAAAATTTCTTTGAAATACACAGGGTGTTCCGTAAGGTCACAGCACATCAAATCTATGTTTTTCTTATTGAAACACCCTATATTTTATTTCATTTTTGAATTCTCCCTGAAGATCTGATTTCAACGACCCATCATACTTAGGGTCTAGCAGTGAAAGTTACTGACATATAGGGTGTGCAAAATCGAGATTTTCCAAGTTCAGGATTTTTTTCTGGCGAAACTGTTCATTATTCGTCAAAACGGTTTACATGTCCCTATCTCAACTTTTCACTCACTATTAATTGGTGTTCAATTGACATTTGATTGAAACAAATTATAAATTTAGATTTTTGAACAATTGTATCAATTTCAATTGAACATCAATTGATAGTGAGTGAAAAGTTGAGATAGGGACATGTACACCGTTTTGACGAATAATGAACAGTTTCGAAAGAAAAAAAATCCTGAACTTGGAAAATCTCGATTTTGTACACCCTATATGTCAGTAAATTTCACTGCTAGACCCTAAGTATGATGGGTCGTTGGAATCAGATCTTCAGGGAGAATTCAAAAATGAAATAAAATATAGGGTGTTCCGATGGAAAAAACATAGCTTTGATGTGCTGTGACCTTACGGAACACCCTGTGTATTTCAAAGAAATTTTGAAATGCGAAGCTCGGTTAATACTTCAATTTTGATTCATGAACTCTGGAGTCTTAGTTGGCCACCCTGTACAAAAAATCAAAATCAATATATAATGAAAAAACTGTTTCGTCTGCCGACATTCAAACACTCCCAATTTCGGTGAAAAGGCGTCTTTGGAAAATAAAATATTTGAATATTGTACTTGCCATTGAATCACCTTGTATAATAAGAAGTACATAGGAGTGTAAAATATTTCATTTTGTCTATCTTTCAATTCATTCTATCAATAGACGAATATAATTGAAAGAACTTGACAACACAACAATGTCATGGAAGAAAATCTTGATTCTCCTAGTTTACTTCAATTCACCAACAAGTCAAGTGGTAGAAATTACCTCAATTTTGATGAATGAATGTTCAATCTTGCAATTTGATTAATAAGTAGATACATTTTGCAATAAGACGAATTGCAAGATTAATTTGTCAAATATTATTTAGAACGAAAAAAAAAAAAAGAATTGCAAGACTTATCTGTCAATTATGACTTAATTGCGAGGTAAATCTTGCATGCAATTATGATTTAAAACGAGAAAAAAAAATGTTCGCGTTGTCCGTTCAGCGCTTTCGCTAGTATCAACATTCAAATCTACAAGTTGCGAAAAAATAATTTTTCATCAATGTCCAAAGGTTCAGCATAAAGTATCAACCTCAGATGACTAGCAAGTGAAACAAATTATTTTTGTAAATCCCCACCTGTTTCAGTGCAGCTCCCTCTTTGAATAAATTCTCGAGAACTTCATCCCGAGTATTTTTGAATGTAGGAAGAGGCGCCATCGAATCGAGTTGCTCTTTGAGCTTAGTGTTCTGTAGATTCAGCCTCTCGTTGCGTTCTTGATGAAACAATTTCCGCAGGTTGTTTATTTCCTGCATCAAAAGAGGCGAATCTTTCACGACCGCCGGTAAACTAGGTCCCATGGATTGCAATGAAGGCAATGTTGAACCTGAAAAAAGGAGACACATTATTCAAGAAATGTATTTAGACCCTACAAAGTATGAGTATTCATTTTCTGAATTTATACGTCCGTCGGAGCGCTCAAATTAGTCTATATCGTTTGCTTATTCCAACCGATGAGAAAGAGGGCAAAACGTTCGGCAATTAAAATTGGAGCGATCCGGCGATAATCTTTATGCTCGAAGAATTTTGACCAAGCAAAGCGGTGAATCTGAATGTGTGAGTTCAAGTGTTGTGTTTATTATTCACTATTATCGTTTTCAAACATGAGCTTGTGAGCTTCCCTTAATTAGGGCCAGTACTCACAAGTTTGTTATTGAATTTATTCAAAAAATCACGAAGAGAATAACTCTTTTGAGAGTTTTGTCTTTGACAAAGATGTGCACCGTTCGTTTGTTCCGATTTATATGTCCAATCCGCGGTCATGTGACTAAAAAATGACCAATTCTCAGGAATTAACTACTTAAAATAGTTTGCATCGCTCGCAACAAATAAATTCATAAGGGAGGGTCACTTAGCTGTGTGCACGTGTAGATATACCAAAACAGAACAAAATGTTGTATTTCGTGGAAAATAATTTATTCAAGTTTTTCTCGTAGCAGAGCGCTTTCGACTATACTGTCATCACCGGTGCGTACTCGTCAGGTTGAAAAGAAAATCATCCATAAAAATATATTTGGTCCAGTTGAGTAATATTAACATTATGGTTAATTACGGTACAAACAGATCGTACGACAGAATGCCGCAGCCATAATGGCTGTTTAAGAAAATGTAATCTATCATATTATCCCAATTTGTGAAAAACAAATTTTAATCTGTTTGTACCGTAATTACCTACTTTTTCGGTAAAAAATTGGTAATAGTTCATAGTTTCAGGCGTTGAAAATATTATTACAAATTTTCGGATAATATGACGGTCTTAAATCGCACACAGTGTCTTCGCTTTTCTAATGAAAAGCATGAAATATCATATATATATATGTCAAGGTAGTTTAGATCAAATCAGCGGCCACTTTTAGTCGTGGAAACGGGGATAGCTTAGGTAATGAATGAAATAAAATAGATCAATCAACGCAGCAGCTGTTCCCCTGACTAACAATAGATAGATACTGCGATTAATTTATATCATATCATATCATTTATATATAATCATTTGAAACTATATGCCAACAATCCTAAATGCCAAACACGAATGAATTGATAAAATGGCGAATGGTGGGGATAACTCTGCAGAGTCATTGTCAGAGAATTGATATATGAAACTCGGGTTAGGTAAACAATCCGAATAGGTTTCCGTAAAGGTCGAATACTAGGTATATGATCATTAGGTGTGCACTTATTCAATTATCTCAGTTGTTGACATCAAATCATTAGGTGAAGAAATTTCGACTATTTTTCATACGATATCACTGAAAATTTAGTAACGCCTTCTTCATTCCTCGCAAGACTTTTCATTTTCCTGAATACATTCGAGATGATTGATTTGTAGCGACGTGGATGTGATAATGAATCTCTTGATTTGGTAAATTCAGAGGATCATGGCCAACGACTTTCGCGTGGGACATTTTCACGTTGTACATATTTGGTTCCGAACCAGAGTTGAAGTGAATAATTCAAGAAAATTGGGTACCGAACGGTATCGCCAATCTATCATTATCTTAGATATTCATCCCTTATGCATACAGGATACATGTGTGTATAAGTATTATGTTATGAATGTACCTATGTATATATCTGAATCTGACGTTGCTAATGTTTTTGTAAAAAAAACCAATGGCAATTATATTATTATTATTATTATTATTATACAATATAATCTCAATATGGAGTAGGTTAGAGATATCTCTATTTCTTTTCATTCTAGTGTGGCCAACATAAAATTTTTTAACGTTGCAACCTTGAAGAAATATTTTTCTCTCGATGCTAGCAGAACTTTTCTATTCATATACAAGATGTCCCAGAACAATGTACCATAAATCCGACAGAGTTAACTAGAGACCTAAATAGGCCGATTGAAATCAACTCACCTCAATACGAAAATGCACCGTTGAGCCGTAAGCCGTGAGAGGGCATTAAAGAATAATTTTACTTCCAGATTATCTTGAATATTTCAAAATCCTCAGATGATACTGCTCTAAAACTCGTAACAGGGAAATCGGTACTTTGACGAAAATTTGTTGCAAGGTCGTGGGTTCGATTTCCAGCACGGGCAAGGAACTTTTTTCAATATTTTATTTACGAATTAAATATTGTAAAGTTTCGGAGCATCGGCTGGGGATAGTCCTGCACGATTCGCTGTTGCGTTCCAATTAACAGTGCTGCTCCTAAAGTGGCGCATGGAGTTAGTAACAAAGCCTACACAGAACACGCAGAAAGATATGATGATGTGGTTGTGAGCATCAGAGAAAAAGTAGGACGGTGTATGTAGGTGGGTGTGGAAAAACTACCAGCTGAGCGTGAGAGCGGGCCAGCTGCTTAAGTAGACCTCGGTCTCGGGGGTTAACGATGATAGTTAGCAGGCCTGCCACTGCGCATATGGTAGTGAGTACATTACTAGCCTACAAAACACAGCTGAACAACTCTGAAAAGAGAGCTGATGGGCGGTGCCTGAAAAGGATGTTAGCCAGCTCTCTTGAGCGAACCACATCAGTCATTGAAAACACTTGGGGTTTGCAAAAAGGTCCCATTGGGGACTAGTTGCTGACGTGGAAACGTCCCCCACCAGTACCAGTACCAGTTGACGAAAATTTATGGAGTACGCCACTGACCACATTTCGATATTTCAATGATCGACAAAATCAATTTTCTAATTTTTTTCTAACTGCAGTTTTTTATAATTCTTCTTGGTTTTCGAGATATCTAACAAATATAAGTTTGGTGATTCTCCATACTTGTTTATAATGTCAGGTTTGCAAGTTTCTACCTCATTTGTTCTGAGCTATCGGCCACAATATATATGTTCACCATTTCCCAAGCTCATCTTTTTTTTTTCAATTGCATTTCCTCGTTGGTCCCAACGCACCAAAAGGTGGGCGGGGTAGTTAGGGAAGCATACAAACATGAACATCCATGGCCTGACTGGGGCTTACTATTTTTCGTGCAATCGTCAAAATTATTGAGCTGAATAACTGAAATGACATTTTGAATGAATACAAAATATGTTGACAGTTCTTGACAACATTAAAATATGATCTGACCATGATCTGACACTGATAACCTTGCTAATTTCGTAGTTTTGAAATATCAAATTCGGAAGTGACGTTTGGTTTTGGAGCCGTTGCTATAGGTAACGGCTACGAAGTTACAACTCGCGGACTGTGTAGAGAATGCGAAGTACTCTCTTCGTATACGATTGCACGAAATTGTGAACTCAACACAAATGAGGTAAAAACTCGCAAAACATGATGATCCTGACACATCAAAAACAAGTATGAAAAAGCACCAAAATGAATTATGTTAGATATCTCGAAAACCAAGTAAAATAAAAAAAAACTGTAGTTTCATGATAGAACTTGTCATTGATTGAAACATCGAAATGTGTTCAATCACCTTTCATAAAAAAGAATGCGAAATAAAGCACATTTACGATAGTGAATTTGGAAATATTCAAGAAAATTTAGAAATGAAATTATTCTTCATCGCCCTCTCACGATGCATTTTTGTATACAGTGTGTCCATTTAGTACGTAATTCTTCGATATCAGGAAATCAATCATCACAAGAGAAAAACTTTGGAGAAAAAACTTTTTCAGTTACTAAAGTTGCTCATTTCGAAAATATTTCCAACAATACTGGGTGTTTTATAAAAGCGGGGCAACTCGAAGACGAGTTTTTTCAAATGGAACACCCAGTATTGTTCATTCGAAATTCATTCCGCTTAAGTTCAGCTCTACACCGCTGTAAAAAAAAATTGAATTTGGTTGCGGCGTTGCCAAGTTATAATTGATAAACCCATTTTCACTACTATTGAAGGGTCATGTTTAATTGGGTATGGTATATTTATTTATAGAAATTCCGAAAATATTTTTGGCATACAGTAGTAGCAAGGTCTCATGTATACCAATCCAGTAATCTTGCGAGATAATCCTCTACAGGGTGCTAAAATTTACATTCTGAATTATTGTAAGATTCAGACGACGATCTCAAGAATTTTTCAAATGGAACACCCTGTATTTATCATCACGGATTTTTTTCGACATCATTCGTTTTTTTCATCGCAGAAGGAAAAATAAAAATCGGTTGCGGCGTTTTCAAGTTATGAGTAATTTCCTTATTTTTACTACTATTTCGGGGTAATTTGTACGTCATGATGGTTCCTTAATTTGATTTGAGTGTGGTAATATTGCTTGCCACAATCATGACATTCGAGGTTCTACATAGATCATTCAGGTATTTTTGTGATATGTGCATCGTCCAAATTTGAAATATTCCGTCATCTTGTTACTTATGATTCAAATAATATGTGAAACAAACAAACATGCCAAAAGCAACGCCTGTCTTTGAAATAACTTCTACAATACAAACAATGAAGATGCGGATTGCGAAAATTAGGACAATTTTTTGAAATTTGGGCCATTTTTATTGTCGTTATTCCCACAATCCAAATCTCCATTCAACTTGAAGGAGGTAAACATAATGATACAAACAATATGTCTCTACTACGCGGCTTTTGGGAGGGAATTCAGCAAAATGTCGAATCAATCCAAGATATATTTGATTGTGGCGATGTTTGACAGGTCATTACACAAATATTTCGAAAAAAATTTAAACTTCGAGAGCCTGTAAATGTTCCTTTTGTAAAAAAATATATGAATGGTCAATGAACAAATTTGATTATACCGTAGCAACGCAATATTTCCACAATGCAAATAAATGAAAGAACTATGACGTGCAAATTACCCCGAAATAGTAGTGAAAATAAGGAAATCAACCATAACTTGACAACGCCGCAACCGATTCCCCATTTTTTTTCGAGCGATAAAAAGGCGAAAGATGTCAGAATGAATTTTTGAATAAAAATACAGGGTGTTCCATTTGAAAAATTCTGATGAATGTCATATGAATCTTGCAAAATTTTGAATTCAAAATTGAGCACCCTGTTGAAGAACATGTCGCAAAATTACTGGATTGGTATACGCTGGACCTTGCTTCTACCGTATGCCAAAAATATTTTCAAAATTTGAATAAATGAATATACCATGCCTAATTCAACATGACTCTTCAATAATGGTAAAAATAGATTCATCAATTATAACTCGGCAACGCCGCAACCGATTTCAATTTTTTTACAGGGATGTGAAGGTGAACCTCGGCGGAATTAATTCCGAATGAACAATACTGTGTGTTCCATTTAAAAAACTCTTCTTCGAGTTGCCCTGCTTTTATAAAACACCCAGTAATGGTGAAAATAATTTTGAAATGAGCAACTTAAGTAACTGAAAAGGTTTTGTATCGAAAGTTTTTCTCTATAGGTTATGGCTTTCGAAATATCGAAGAATTCCGCACTAAATGGACACACTGTATATAGGTAAGTTGAATTCAATCGGCCTATTTTGGTTTCTAGTTCACCCTGTAGAATTTATGGTACGTTGTTCTGGACACCTTGTATATGGCATGAATCACCAACAATTTCCAATTCACAACTTTATTGTTGTAGTCAAATGCAAAAATCGTTAGGAATGAAATCTTTGTATTTTGAACACTCTATGGGTTTGACAAGCCAGTAACTAATAGACTAAAATTCAAAGAGTATTTTGCAAGTAGATGAATTCTAATGCCCTGCAAGAAATTGAAAATCTTGAAATTTAATTCTCACCTGATATAGACTTGGATAAGCTAACTTCCAATTGTGCTTTCTTGGACAATAATTTGAGCTTCTCTTTCATCTCTCCCTTTTCATTCTCTAGAGAATCAATATCGGTTTGAAGATGGTCCAGTGTTTCTTCAAACTCTTTTTCCTTCTTCTTGTAGTTGTTATGGGCCTCTTCCAGTTTCCTCTGTAATTTTTCTATTGTTAACTCGTAATCCTTGTTCACATTGCCCAATTTTTTTTCAGCAAGTTCTTTTCTGATTGTCATTTCTGAGAGCTGTTCCTGCTTCTCTTTCATCAATCTCTTCAACTCCTTTAAGTCTGATTCTTTGTTTTCTAATTTGCTTGTGAGCGTTTTTGTTTGTTCTAGTTCCTTCTTCACCAATTCTGCTCTTACACTGACTGGAGGAACAACCTATAGAAGTTGAAGAATATTATATTAACATACATATTATAAGAAAATTCGAAATTGCCTACACAACTGTCAATCTTGATGTGGATTATGAGGGACATGTTTCAAATTCACACAAGTTCATCTCCAGCTTACTTTCATAGAATGTGTAGTTTCAATTTCATTTTTGTTTCCTCAAAACCTCTGTTCATGCAAAAACTATTCGATCATGTGAGAGAAAGTCAACAAAATGGAGAGGGAAGGATGATATATTGCTTCTCGTTGTATATCTTACTAGTTTATCAATTTCATTGGTTGGCTCCATCCACCTTCCTTCAGGCACAACGTATTGATTTGATTGGTAATCCTCGTGAACATTTCTGGTTATCAGATTTACGTTTTCAACAAGAGGGCTAACTTTATTGCCCTCCAGATCGCGCTACTGAAACGTGAGGTCAGAATTGGAAGAACTGATAAATATTAAACTCCCCTAAAAATTATTTTATTTCTTTAATTAACATTTAATAATATCATTAGGAAAATTTTAATAATAATTGTGAATAAGTATGTATGAATATAAATAATTATGCGTATTGAATGAAATGCTCGGTACACTATATATTATGAATTAAATACTTGTCTCATTTGTTAATGAGACAATTTTCCCTTGTGATAATTTGATATTGTTAAATATTTATTGACCTATGTACATTTATTTATTTGTTATCCTTACTACAAGGTTAACTTCATAAGGTTTTTCCCAGTTTATTCAAATTACCTATATGTTTATTCCAATGTATATTTTGTAAACGTTTTTGAATAAACTTATATTATTATTATTATTATTACTTCTTCTTTTTATGTCATTTGGCCTCTTCCTACGATATCTTCTTCTCCGTTAATCTAAGAATTGGTCGTAAAGTTCCAAATTGAGAGTCAAAAAATGCAAGTCTGCTCAAGAATTTCCATAATTCGAGGTGTTCTATTTGTTCAACCTCTTTTTTTCCGAATATTTTCGATGAAACATACCATAGCTTTTGGGGAGAATTCTGGAATTTTCAATTTTCGATAATTATTGTCCTCACGTTTTAGTAAAGGTGAATTCCCAATGCAGCTCTTCTGCTTTTCGCGTCACGCACTATGATTGGTGACGCGGGAATGAGAATTGCTGCTCTGTTTTTTATTATTTACTTCAGTTCCCAAAGAAATTACCTATCCTTGTCGATGTGGTCGAAGTTTGCATAGAAAAATCATGAGAATATCTGGGAATACTGAAAATATAGTATAATACTTGCAAAATATACAGAGCTGCATCAGATAAGTAATTCATCAAAAAATTAAAATAGCATACCTAATGAAAATGAGATAATCTGGTAGGTAGGTATATACCTACTTCAGGGATACTGCAATGATTTATCAAGAGATCACGTTATGGAATGAGGGTTTAATGAAGTTGCATTAAAAATTTCCACATTTTCATGAAAAATCTTGTTTTGAAAGAATTTATATTGCTTTAATAAAAATTAAGGTTTCTGGAACATAACCTCAACGCAACACAAAACAGCAACGCCAAAAATATTTTTCAAATTCAGCGTCACCATTCAGGTCGCATGACGCGCGACGCGTAAAGCAAAAACGCTGCATTGAGAACTCACCTTAACGCCAACTGGTGACTGAAAATGTTAGCCCTCATTGACAAATTTTGGATTCACGATAGGAGAACATCGGATTTTGGAGTTTATTACTGCAATCATAAGTTGCACAAGAAACAACAATTTTTGTGAATTTTTTGAAACAGTCCAACACACCTATGGATTAGTGAACTTTTCTATAGAGTGGCAATTTTTTTAAATTCTCTGCCTAGGAAAGTACAGGGTAAACAACAAGAACGGCTGTCATATCTATGATTCTTCCAACTTTGATAGTTAATATCTTCCTTTGGCGAAAAGCTATCATGTTGCAATTTAGTTTCTCTATTACATTGTGTAATAATATTGAAACGTTATTTTTTTTATTATTTCACTGCTAACGGCAGCTGTTCATCGGAGGCACAAGGGCGTGAGTCTATTGCTAAACTTGATATAGAATGTATCTTCCACTGATTCAAATTTCATCAAAAAAAATATATATTTATATTTAGGTTGATATGTGGTATATTATAACTGATTAAAAGTTGAAATGGGCGCCACTGATTCTTTTAGACATTTGTTAACTTGGGAAAATCAGAAACCTTGATTATGAGAGATATTCAGCTGAAATAAGAAAAGTCCATTAAACACATACAATTTAATAGTACTTAGATTTATCATTTGTACACTACAATGTAATCACTCATAAAGGAAATCTCAACATATTAGAATATTATAGTTAGTAATCATGTGATGTTAAATTCAACTATTCAGAGCTCAATTTGGAAAAGAAAATATCATCATATATATGTATGTGGGTATACTGCAGGTTACTTCTATTAGATATAGTTAGTCAAAAGATTCATGAACCTTTAGATGGAATTAAATCCTGCACCTATGGGTAGATTTAAAGTAGTTAAAGTAGTTTCCAAAAGGAGCGCAATACATCAGCTTATTAAGATGATTTTAAGATTAAATTGAGGATTACACACAAAAGTTCTAATTAGGCATTATATGTCAAGATATTTGGGGATTATAGGAAAATAAATGGGGTAAAATTCTATAAAAAAAAACCTGGTTATCCAATGATGATGTAAGGTTTGATGATGGGTCATAACAGGCTTGGGTTGGTGGTCAGCCCCAAGAAACATGCAGCCATTCCAAGTTCTGGACCAAAGGGGCCCACTCGATGAAGCGGATGAAACTGCATACTGATGAGCATTAGCCCAGGACAAATCCATGTCGACAGCCAGTCGAGAAGGTCTAAGAGTGTTCAGTAAACCCAGCAAAGAAACCCTATGGAAGAGCAATGGCGTATAACTACCATGTCTTGCAAAAAAAATGTCACAAAAGAGATTTTGAGATATAACTCACCTCTGGTCGTCAGAGGGTTTGCCTAGTATAATTGGATGCATCATTAAAGTCAAGTCGTGCTGGTGGGCCATGTGGGATTCCTGTTCCTCCAAGTGTCGTCTCCTACCTCGTGGCCAAGATAACCACAAACCAAGTAGCGCCGGAATCTTCAGTTGGTCATTTCCAGAAAAATAAGGCAAGGATTCCACAGTCCTATGACTTTGCATAGTCGACAGATTTTAGTGTTAATAAAATCTCTCACAGAATTATTTGTGATTTGGAAAGAAAATTTGGATGATTTCTGAACTCACCATTCTTGTCCACCTTCATGAACGGAAATGAAAATGCCTCTCCTTCTTGACAAATTGACAATTTTTCTCAACCTTGGAATTGACATGAAACACAGATTTGTTGGCATGGAAATCCACGAATCCATAGTTTTGAGCAGAAAATTACGACATGACAACAGTCACCTGCAGCCAACAGCATCAGTCCGAAAAAGATACTGTGGTGAAATCTGTCAATTACTAGACATGATGACCTTGGGCTGTGGCTAGAGAATTAACATGTTAGGACCATTTGGGACTCACAATTTAAAGGTCAGAAAGAATTACGTATCTCGTAGGCGAAATTTGGAGAAATTAAAGTCCTTTGACATTGAGGATACATAACCCTACTATTTTAACTGGTAAACATTGGATAACCACTTGTTGTAATAGTAATTTAAACGAAAATTATCTCTTCCATGAAGTCAAGACCCATTGAATAAACAATATGTACATTTGAGAGGTAAGTGTAGAGAATCTACTTGGCCTTTGTTGTTAAATTTTCACTGCTGCCTGGTCCAATTCCACTATCATTATTTCCTTTTCAGGTTTTTACTGGCTGAGAACCAACCAACGACGTTTTCCTAGGATATGATTATAGAACAACATTGATGGTTTCTATCTACTTGGTAAGTTAATTTGAATTTATTGTTGTTAATGTGGTGCTCTGTTTATTTTTGTATTCATCACTATTTATTATCAATTAACTACCTTATTCTTTTCAGGACACCTATACATCTTAGGAATGGAACACAGACCGAGGCAATGTGTTTTATAAATCAATAGTTTACCAAACTCTGTTGTGAATGAAAAATAAAATGTACTGCTTGGAAATTCACTAAGTTAAATGAACTAAGTAGGAAATCAAGCTTACTGATGTAACGTTTGGTGAGTAAGGTAAATGAGTAATTGAAAACGTTACAATATGCATACCATTAGATTTATTTTATCTCAAACTTGTATCATTATTCGTTGCTGAGATATGGCTGACAGCCGTTCTTAGTTGTTCACCCGGACATATTACCAAGAACATAATATTTATTTATTTATTTATTTATTTATTGAACAAATAACTTCCAGACAGAATAGGCTCTGGTATAAGGAAGTACATAATTATATACCTATAGGTAAACATATCATTATACAAAATATATCAACAACTGTAAATTGACAAACAAAGAATAATATTTGTAAAAAAAATGGCATGTTCAATTTTATCCAGTTCGCTCAGAAATAATCAATTTTTTCACTTCATTTTTGAATGAACCTATATTGTCAGGTAGTTTATTGAATTCAGTTAAGGCTGAATGAGTGAATCTTTTTTGTCCGATAATGGAGCTAGCGGCGTCAAGATGAAACAAGTTATATTGTCTTGTTTCATGATTATGAATATCAGAATTCCGTATCAACATGAAATTCGACTTCAATTTTTCATTTATATTATATGATATTTTGAGAGTTTCAATTCTATATATTTCATCTAAAGAATACGTATTTGTTATTTCAAACAATTGATTGGTTGGTGTATCAAATGGGATACGATACAATACTTTCAACGATTTTCTATATAATGTTGATATTTTATTGAAATTGTTCTTTGAACAAGTTCCCCAAACATTTATTAAATAGTTGATACGACTCAGTATATGAGAGTAGAGAATCATGTTTGCAATTTTAATATCAAGTTTGGGACATCTTCTCAATGCACCAATAATTG